GACTATTTTTCTAGTTTGCCAAAATCATTTGCTCTTTGGCTTATCCCCCCTGGAACATCAACACTTATCCCTCCTGGAACAACTACCAATACTGGTGGTGAATTAGTGATAACACATGAAAAGGATTTGAGAATTGATATAGACAAGAAAATAGGCAACAAAGTGCAAAGTCAATCAGCAGTTGCTAAACCCAGTAAGGTATTGTCATGCATGGAAAAGAGACATAAACTCTTTGTGACGAAAGTAACCTCATCACTGGCTTTTGGAGGGGCCTGTTTGCCAGCCTCCTATCCTGTGATTATGACTGTGACGGTAGTAAACTGTATCACCGTCAAGCAATCCCCTCTTCCCATAAAAGAAAATCACCACGTAATCCACAGGAATAAATATCGCTGGTATCGCCAAATAATCCACATATGAGCCAAAGCTTAATGGTGGAACAAGACTGATTTACTGGAAGCAACAGGCATTCAATTTATACAATAGCAGACGCCTCCTCTGGGCCAGGCTAGATAATTGAGTTTCAGCAACATATTAAACTCAATTATCTGCTGGCCAGAAATATTAAGATTTTTAACACTTTTAGAGAAGTACTTTCTGCATAACATACAATTATAACAATCCCAGCCCTGGGTAGCTGAGGATACTAGGAGTCACAGTTCCAAATTTCACGAAAATCCGTTTGGTAGTTTCCGTGTCGCATCGTGTGGAAGTTTGACTGGTTCGCCATGTGGTGGTATCCGAGTTAGAGTTCCATGAAATCACCAGCAAGAGCCGGTCTCCATTTGCGCCTAATTACACGAAAACTACCATACGTATGTTACAGCTTTTTACCTGTGAATGCTCCCCTTGTACGGTAGATTCAAACTCCCGAATGCCGGTTTGCTACATTGAGTGGAAAGTAGTCAGTCGGGCCTTCCATACTGACTGCCCGTTTGCGTGTTTGCCATGCCAAAAACAGTTGCAGGCAATTCACGCGTAAGTCCCGCTGACTGCATTCGGGAGATTTAAGATGGCCGCCACCCTTTGTTCTCGCCACTTGATCGTATGCCGAATGGCGGCCACCTAGAAGCATTCACTTAAGTTGTGGTTTTTCGTGTGATTACTCGATGTTCCAAGTTCTAATTGCTACCCAGGGTGGTCTCTGTTAGGTAGAAAAAATAAATTTTCCAGAACTTATAGTTAAATGAAACGTCCAAAATTAGTTAAACAGCAGGGAGAGGATATAACCGAAAGAACACAGGTGAGTATAGGAGAATTCTTTACAATGACCCTGTGACAAACTGAACCTCGTCAAGGGTTCTTGAAGGGGCTTGCTGGCCAGCCTATTGCCTCAGGACTATGGGCCCTGTAATATACCTTGTCCAATGCACTTTAAAAGGCTCTTTTCATGTGAAGTATGTACTTTTGTACTCCAGTCAGAGAGACCGACCGTTAGCCCTAATTCTCTGGAACCGTTTTGAGCATGGGACCATGTGCACGGTGGGTCAAAAATAAGACTTCCAGGAATTTCCTGAACCCCTGCTCTGATCTGGGTGATTTTTGGATATGTTGTTCATCCAGATCAGGACTATCAGGGGATGTTTTATGGGGATATGTTGTATTTTGAGGTACTTATGAGACTTTGTAAAATATGTGTTTTTTATGCTTGGGGATAATAACGTTAATACATTATCTACCTTAATTGTATCACAGGCAGAGGGGAGGAATTGTGTGCTGTATATGGGAGTGTCAAGTATTGTTACATTGATTCTATTGGTCTGTACAATTTGTGTCCTGTGCCCCATCAGGTCCAGTACGTGTTCCTCTGGCCTGAAAAGTTGTATAAAAATCCAACCTGTACCATTAAACTCTCAGATCATCTTGCACCTTCATGAAGTCTTGGCTCATGTTTTGGAGATTGGAGAACTACACTCTGGGGATTGCTATAATCACTATACTCCCCTGAGTATAATCACTAAGCTCTTGTAAGAGCTGTTCCTGCTATGCTCTCGGAACTAAGAGAGGCCTACCCACTGGAAGCTGGATCCTGGTCTTGGATCCAGGGTGGGTGGAGGACAGCGAGACCCCAACCAAGCTGTGGCAGTTCGTGGGGTTTACGGTGGTTATGGTTTTCCAGTGCAGTGCTTATGGTACTCGCCAGTACTAGGAAGCAGCAATTGACAGAGGTACCCGGTCGGGGTCCCAGGCGGTCCGTCATACTCTTGGTATGGAAATTAAATTTTGCCTCTTTATAAATTAATGGTAAGGCCACACCTTGAAAATGCAATGCAATGTTGGACACCTATTCCAAAGAAGGATATTCGGGCTACAAAATTAATAAGAGGAATGGAAAATTTTAGTTATGAATAAAGGCTAACACATTTAAATTTGTCTATTTTAGAAAAACAGTGCCTCAGAGCATATATTTAGGGCCAACACAAGCCATTGTTGAGAAATATATTCTAAAATAAGATTATAGAATCAGCATGAGGTCACTCATTTAGACTGGAATGAAGGAGGTTTAGTCTATGCATCCAGGGAATGGTTCTTTACAGTATTTACAATAAGGATGTGAAATTATGTGCCTGCTTAAGTGGTTTTATCAGAGTCTGTAGAGATGTTTAAGCAGCAACTGCGTGAATTCTTGCAAAACCATAAAATTTTGGGATAGAATTTTAAATCTGAGGGGTAACAGCTTCTTGATACAAGGAGAGATCTGAATGCCATTTTGTGGTAGTTAACCTTCTTCCCACTTTGCTCCATCCAAACTGTGAGTAAGGGCTTCCCAACGCCTTGCACGATAACATCCAGACGCCATCTTAGCAGCAAGAACTGGCTGAAGAGTAAAAACCTGTGACGTGGACTGTTACTATAGCGGACTGTTTATATGTGGTCCGAAAGCCACCGCAAACCTATCAACTGATATTTCACTAAAAGCTGTAATCAAGTTTATTGCATTTGTGATGTGAAATACTAGTGTTAAGGCCCTAGAGTAAAGTTGTAAGTTGTAAGCAACGCCTTCTCCTAAGTTTCTAACTACTAAATTGTTGTTAATTATTTTAAAGGGTAAACTTTCTTTTTAGAAAGCATCAGCAGTATATTTGTTTTTATAACATTTTGCCGTATTGTATGCACTGTTTACTAATCTTATAAGTTTACTTGTGTTTTCTCTGGTAGCCCTTAGTAGCAAGTTTGAGCCAACACTCATTCAAAATTAGGTTCCAGGCACACATACATGAAAGGCAAAGGCACACTAGAAGAAAATGTTGTCACCTGCTGAAGAAACAGACAAACCCACAGAGACACAACAGGTGCGGTCCAGCTCCAGAGAGCGAAGCTTAACAGAAAAAGGCCAAGAAATGCAGGAAGAAGCAGCTAAGAAAAATGAAAAGGCATTTAACAAGGTGTATGATTTTTGGAAGGAGCTAGCAAAGGAAACTAGGACGAAGTTAAAGATTTTCTGCTCCACCGAAGACCTTAACACAAGACTGAAGGAGATTAAAGACAAAGAAGTGTTAGTGTACCAGCAGTATGAGCCCATTTGACACAATCAGTCCACTACTCCAGTATATTGTTAAGAAAATGGATGCCTGTATCGCTTTAACAGCCAAAACCTGCGACCTCACCAGTAAACGACTAGAGAATATAGACAAAACCTTCAATGACCGACCTCAGAAGGAAAGAGTGAGGATGATACTTAATAAGGAGGAGTATGAGTCTGTCTTTGGAAACACAGAAACAGAAACTGCCTTTTCAGAGTCATTACAAGGCTCAGACTCAAGCTCAAGAGCCACCTGCAGATCTTCTAGCAGACGAGCAGATGCAGAAGCCGACCTTGCAGCAAAGATAGAGCAGGCAAATGCAATGCAACTGATATGTGAGCAATAAGTAAAACTGAACAAACTGGAGAGTGAATTAAAGCCTTAAGAGGCACAAATGCTTGCAGAAATTAAACTGAAGTAAGATGAGGAAAAAAACAAGCCTACAACAGTTACAAGCAGAAAATGAAGTCAAGGTAGCAGTGGCACGAGTGAAAGCTTACAGTGCCTATGATGGTCTTGAAAATTCTGAGCAGAAGACAGACCACAAGGTGCAATGCCTCTGCCAAAATAATGAACGGCAAAACTCATTAAATCCACAAGCTGTGGCATTTCAACCTTCAAATACTCTTCTAAGTGAAGTGTCAAGACCATTAGAAGGGATTAGCCTAACTCCAGGACTTGCAAGTCTGCTCATCTCCAACCATCTCCCTATACCTGAACCAGCTGTATTTCCAGGTGATCCTTTAAAGGTTATAGATTGGAAGATATCCTTCACAGCACTGATTGATCAGAAACCACTATCTGTGCGAGAAACCACTCCCTGTGTGCGAAGTTGTACTTGAAGAATTATCTTGGAGGCGAAGCTCGTAAGGCAGTGGAAGGTTTCTTTTATCGAAATTCAGAAGATGCTTATCTAGGTGCTTGGGGAATCCTGTAGGAAAGGTATGGAGGTCCATTTATTGTTTAAAGAGCTTTCAGAGAAAGGCTAACTAAATGGCCGAATATTTCAGCAAATGATCCTATAGCATTAAGAGAGTTTGCAGATTTCCTTCAAGGTTGTGTTGAAGCCATTCCTCATGTTAAGAGTCTAGCTATTCTAAATGATTGTGAAGAAAATCACAAGCTTCTCAGGAAACTGCCTGAATAAATCGTGTGCAGATGGAGTCGCATCGTTGTGTACGAGTTAGATAAGTCTCCAATACTTAATATCCAACCTTTGCTTGTTTCACAGAGTTCCTGCAACGGGAAGCTAAGATAGCATGCAACCTCATTGCCTTTCCCTTTCTCCCTTTCTCCTAGTAGTCAGTCATCCAACCTGTTTGCACATACAGAGAAACACAGAACCTGTTAAAACACAGAACAATGATTCAGTAGCTACTGGAAATAAGGCAAACAATAACGCTCCCAATGTTATGTCCCTTACATTGGCAAGGCATACTTCCGCCACATCTTGTATTGTTCTTGTCCTGTTGTCAGCTGCAGCTGAGCCCCAGAGAGAAATCCTCCCTTATGCCTTACTGGACACGCAGAGTGATTCAACCTTTATTTTGGCAGACCTAGTATCTCAGCTAAATGTGAGCACCCAGCAGCTCCAACTAAAGCTCAGCACAATGACCGCTGTCGTCACCATCATCTCAAGCCAAATTGCTCACGGTCTGTAAGTGCATGGCTTCAACTCTAAAGTTTAAGTCCAAGTCCGTCAAGCCTACACAAGACAGTTCATCTCAGTAGATAAGTCTCACATTCCCACTAAGGAGACTGTACTCCAGTGGTCACACCTCAAGCACTTGGCAAACAAGCTACAGCCACTTCCAGACTGCGAAGTCGGACGGTTGATCGGCAACGACTGCCTATCAGCACTGGCTCCCTTGGAGATCGTTACTTGCTCTAAAAAATGAACCCTTCACTCAAAAAAATGTGAGAGTTGCAGTAAAAGAAATGCCAATGTCCCCGGTCATTGATGTGTTAAAGGCTTTAAAAAAGGACTTCAGTGATAGAAATTATGAGGACAACTATGTGTCTCAAGATGACGTTCGCTTTGTGCAGTTTCTCTCTGAAACCAAAATAATAAGGGAAGATGAACACTATGAGATGCCGTTACTGTTCAAAGATAACAGTCAACAGGTACTACCAATCAATGAGAGGCTAGCCATTTTTCGAGTCCAACATCAAAAGAAAAGGTTGAAGGCCAACAAACAGTACCATGGGCACTACACTGCATTCATGCAAGAAACAATCAAAAAAGGGTGATGCAGAACCAGCTCCTTCATTGTCGCAGGGAGAAACAGCGTGGTACGTCCCACGTCACGGGGCTTACACCTCAAGAAGCCAGATAAGTTAAGAGTCATCTTTGATTGTTCAGCAAAGTTTCAAGGAATCTCCCTAAACAACATTTTACTGACAGGTCCCAACCTGATAAAATCCCTAGTCGGAGTTCTCTGTCGCTTCAGGAAGGAAGCAGTTGCTGTGATATGCGACATTGAACAGATGTTCTATCAGTTCTACATCCCACCACAAATGCGCAACTATTTAAGGTTCCTTTGGTGGGAGAGTGGTCAGTTGGAAACAGAACCCAAAGAGTACAGAATGGCAGTTCACCTTTTCGGTGCCAGCTCCTCTCCAGGATGTGCCAACTTTGGTCTTAAGTATCTTGCACGACAACACAAAGCAGATTATCCCTCAGCATCAGCCTTCATCGAGAAGAACTTTTATGTCGACGACGGCCTAACCAATGTTGCAACAGTCAATGTAGCTACAATTCTGATCATCGAAGTACAAAACTATGCAAGAATGCCGGCCTACGTCTGCATAAGTTCAACTCTAACAAAAAGGACGTTCTATCTTGTGTAGCTCCGTCAGAAAGAGCAACAACTAGTGAACCTCTCACTCTTAACCAAGACCTAACACCAGAAGGACAAGTGCATGGCATTCATTGGTCAATTGAAAACGACACTTTCAGTTTCAGCTTTGACATAAAGGATTAAACCTCAACTCGTTGTGGTGTCCTGTCAGTGGTGTCCTCTCTCTACGACACTCTAGGCTTCATAGCTCCATTCATATTGAGTGGCAAGTGCATTTTCTGCAGGGGAATCAGTTGGGATGAAGCACTTCCTGAGGTGGGAGACCTGGAAGAGTAATCTGCAAGTTTTGAAGGAAATCAAGATACCTAGATGTTACCATCCTTCAGAATTCGGTAACAAAGTAAAGGTGAAACTACACCACTTTTCCAATGCCAGCAAAATAGGATATGGTGCCTGTTTGTACCTTAGGTACAAGAATGACCGAGGTCAAGTCCATTGCAGCTGTGTAATGGCCAAAGCAAGAGATGCACCAACGAAGGTTGTGAGCATCCCAAGGCTGGAAATCCCAGCTGCCCATGCCTCCAAGGGTTTTCACATAGCAGATATTTCTTCCTCAAACTGGTTATCTGAGCCTAGTTTTCTATGGGAATCTGAAGTGCTCTCGTCTCCAAATCATTCAGCAGAGCTGATTGTAAGCGATACGGAAGTTAAACTCCTCTCAACCCTTGCATCACAAGTCAGTGAGCAAACTGATGTACTAAATCATCTGAACAAGTTTTCCAGTTGGCAAATTCTTCAAATTAGGGTGATTGCAAGAATCAAGAGACTAAGATCGAAGACACATCGTGGTAGCAATCTTGTGACCGTAGAGGAACGTAGGAAGGCTGGGGAAGAAGTGATAGGCCTGGTTCAACAGCAAGTTTTCCCCCAAAAAACTAAAAATTCTTCAAACGGTAGACAGTCTTTCAAGTTCAAGCCCTCTTAGTCACTTTGACCCTATTCTGGTTCAGGGACTTTTTCGTGTTGGTGGAAGACTGTCAAGATCAACCCTTAGTCAAGAAACAAAGCACCCAGTCATCCTCTAAAAAGACGGGCACATCACACAGTTAATCCTGTCCCACTACCATGAAGCCACCTGTGTCAGGATTACAGAATGATCCAACACGTAGAATTGTGTAACACAGAGGACTGATAGGTAACGTATACCGGACCTTAGAATGGCCGGACTAACGTACCAAACAATAGTCAAGAATAGCCGAGGTCAAGGGATACAGAAAGAGACACAATGATAAGGAAAAGCCAGGAGTCAGTGTTGCCAGAAAACAGGGAAGTCAAAAACAATGCCAAAATCAAATAACCAGAATAACCAAAATTAATAACGCGCTCTCGGACAACCACAAGGGAAACCACGACAGGGCACTGAGCAGGATGAGAACTGGGCCTAAATACCCCTCCTCTAGATCTGATAGGCTGTAACCGGCCTTTGACCCCAAAGGCAGTTACCAGGTTACCATTTGCATAATTGCTGCTCAGCATTAACCGTTCTGTGGATTTGGTTGCTGCTCGGCACAACTTTTCATGTGTGGATAGTAAATGCCATTAACCACATTTTTATAAGCGGATGAATACGTGACAACCTGTCACCAAGACCGCAACCAGACTCTAACAAAACTTAAAGCAAATGGATTTTGGGTACTTAGTGGAAGCAAGTCAGTTGCCAAGTTGATACATAAATGTGTACAGTGTTGAAAGCTCTGACGACCCACAGAGCAGTGTATGTCAGAGCTCCTTGAAGAACATGTAGACGTTTCAGCTCCCTTTACTTACTGTGGTATGGACTGCTTTGGTCCCTTTGTCACCAAGCAAGGGTGCAAAGAATACAAGAGGTATGGTCTCATCTTCACATGTTTCTCCTCACGTGCAGTCCATATTGAGATGCTTGAAGACAAATCCACAGACACCTTCATCAATGCCTTAAGGTGCTTCATCAGCTTGAGAGGTGCTGTTTACAAACTCCACTGTGATCAAGGCACTAACTTTACATGAGCAAAAAGTTAATTAAAGGAAGCTCTAAAGCAATGTGACACCAAGGCACTGCAAGCTTTCCCAGCTGACAACAATGTGAGTTCATTTTCAATGCCCCCTCCGCCAATCATACAGGTAGAGTCTGAACAGGTGAACGTCAAATTAGGACCATTCGTAATGTGCTAAGTGCCACAAGCGCTCAGTGCTCAAGTAGACTGGACAAAGCTTCCCTTAGAACACAGTTTTATGAAGTTATGGCCATTGTTAATAGTTGTCCTTTAACTGTTGATAGAATCAATGACCCTAAAGCACCCGAACCTCTAACTCCGAACTATCTCATCCTGATGAAATCCAAAGTCGCATTACCTCCACCTCGGAAGTTCCTGAAGGAGGATGTATATGCAGCTAAAAGGTGGCGTGAAGTGCAGTACTTAGCAGAGCAGTCCTGCAGTAGGTGGAAAAGGGAATACCTCATGAGCCTTTCCACAAGACAGAAATGGCACACACCTTTACGTAACCTGAAAGTAAATGACATAGTCATAATCAACGAAGATATATCTCCAAGATGCCAGTGACAGTTAGGACGTGTCATTGAAACTGCAATAGAAAAGGACAGTTTAGTTCGTCGAGTGTTAGTGTTAGTATGTGACCAAAGACTGAGAGATAATCAAAGCCCTCAATAATTGAGCGTCCTATTTGGAAATTAGTAGTCCTTACTTATCAGTCTCAGTGATGCACTAGTTTAAGACACATAACACAACACACAGTTACAGAGGTATTTATAATCTCTTTTAGTTACAACTTACGTACATAGCAGTCCATTCGTTATGTTCTGTAAATTATGTATGACTCTTTAAGTTTATATTCGTCATAACATAATTTGGTGGGAGTGTAAGTGTCCGCTAGTTATTTATTTTATTAGTTAAAATAAAGTCTTAAATTTTAACAATACTCACACGAATAGCACTCTGTTCTAAAGAAGCGGGCAGACAAAATAAATTATAATAGATAACACGTTGGGAACTATGATGATCAAACAAGTATGAGGTTCCTGCAAATAAAAGCAATACTAAGTTCAAACAAACAATTTGCATATGGGCAAGAGGTCCCTACTGAAATGTCAGATTTAAAATGACTCTGAAAGATCTTCTTTAATTCTCTTACAATTCAGCTTATAAATAGAACTGAACAGTTTTAGACCTCTGTTTTGATATGTGACTCATAGCTCTTTGGTAAATATAGAATTAATTTGCAGCTCACAGTTCTGAGTTTGAAAACATGATCTATCATATTCCCTCTAGTTATAAATATATATGACCACTGTGCGGGTGTATGATACATATGCTTAAGATTCTCTTGCAAAATATGAGCAAATAGTTTCATGAAAATGTGTAAGTTAAAGTCCATGGATCAAGAAAAGAGATCAAGGGATGTGCATTTAATATGTGAACATCAACGATTTAATAGTAGTCAACAAATACCAAAGTGCTTGCTCCTTGTAAAAGATTTCAGCATAATTTTGAAGGGAAAAAAAACACATTTAGTCTGTACTGGTCATTCATTGGAAATCTCTCAATTATTATCTATGATGTCATTAACCCAAGTTCACTTTGTGCTTGGTTATGTCTCCAGTCCATTGCTGTCATGTGTATTAATACATTATAAATGTTTCAGCAGTCTTCTTATTAACTTTGCCAGAAAATCAAAGAAACATTCTGTCTTGGTTATAATACACAGGGAAAAATAAATCTTGTCTAAAGCCTCTGTCAACTCAAATGTCAACAGTGAAAATGGTTTGACTTTGAAAAATGTATAAATGAGTTACTG